GTATCGGGTGTTGTACGTGGGAGTGTAGACGGCTGGACAAAATGAGGGTGGTGAGCAAAGACGGACAGGAAATCGGAGGGAGGGTAGAGACCTTGAGACTGCCGGCAGAAGAGACACATGCGACGCTGACTTACTCACCTGTAGCTGGATTTTCTGCCAACTTTTCAGCAACCTTCAACTGCTATTTGTCCTCATAATCAATGGCTTCTGAGATAAGTCTTAGATTGCTTTTGACGTTGATGTGTTGCTGTAGCCCGCTATAGTAGAATTGTCTGCCTTTGCGCAGGTCTTGAGGCGAGAGTTTAGGTTAGTAGCTGCTTCTTCCACCCACAACAAAGTTCCCTTGGCATGTAGATGAAGACAGAAAGAAGCAGCAGCAGATTCCTGAACAAGTGCGCATACACGCAGTGGTGAGGGTGAGAGGGAGCACAACACCGGTAGCTAAGTTTCCTCTCGCCCACTTGCCAGCGTGAGCACGTGTTTGACAGGGTTGAACGCGTCCAGTGAATAGGCGCCTATGCGCGTCATAGCTCTCCATTTCTGCGCTATAAAGAGTGTCCTCGCGCTGAAGCTGTCAATTCCCTTCTTTCCCTCGTACTCATACGATCTCTCTCATATTACATCCCTCAAATTCCAAACTGTCGTCGGTGACCTTTACAAGCATTCACCCTCAAGCCAAAGGATTCACTGCGCAGCATTCGTGCGCTGTACGTACATCTTCAGGCGCATATATGTGCTGATCTCCTGGCTCTTGCTCATTGCAGCGCCATCGCTGTCCCGCCAGCCTGAGGCCAGTATTTCTATGGCTCCTGGTATGTATCACCACCATGCTCACCCCCACGTAGCCACCACCTCCGCTATTCTCGTTGGTTCTTGTGGACCAGGTACAAGTCACATACCCAAGTCTACTTGACGCAACACAGGGTAAGTCTCCTGCTATGTCCAGTAACTGTCCGGTGTTTCGTGCTCTCTCCACACTGCATGCCGATGCCATCGGACTTGGCTCCGCCATTGTGCACGGGTACGCGTTCACATTATGGCCCAGACTTGTATCTCAGAAGAGTCCACTGAACTCGGATGACCGTGATTGCCACTTACAAGCACGGAGACATGCGCATGTCTCCTCAGAGTTGTGGCTTTCGAAGGTCAAAAGCATTGAATGAGTGCTCGGGGCATGTGTCGCACGCGATCATGAGTATTGTCAGCAAAAGTCAGAAATGAGACACTAATTCCATGATCCCAGTTGTTCACAGAAGCCGCAACGAAGTGAGTGAACATCTTTTTTTCCTCGAGGTCATTTGCTGATACCCGTTCAGACACATGGAATTACAGGCCTTTTCGAACACACGCACTTCAGTACTCTAGCATGTAGGTAGCCATCACTCAGACCGCGCCACATCTGCCTTGTTTTCTGCGTCCTGCTGATATATTTGATCGACCACAAGGACAATCACGATGCCGCCCTGTGATGGGCGTAGACAGAATATGTGTAAGTACGAGGGCTGCCATCCCCGCTCCTTCTCTTGCACGTGTTTGAATCACGCACCCCAGTGTTTTTGAGAGACACCATTGGCTAAGTCATCGGCTAGTGAGTACCGTCTTCCCCATCTGTCGAAGATGTCTGCATACTCACACACGTCGCCCTCAGGCTTGCCCTCCTCTCGAGTCAGTATCCATTCATTGGTGTTCCATATCCAATAGTGCAGGTTGGCCTGTTCTCGTCGTGTATACGTAGCTTGTGTATATTCCGGACTTGCAATATATTTCTCTGCGCCTCCTCCTAAGCCTGACTACATACCTTCAATGCAAGTGAAGATTATTTCCATTTCGGCAGTACAGAATCTGCTCCCTGGCCTCCTCCGATCGCCCAATACGAGGAATAAGAAGGGAGGTCCGGATTATCATGCAATATAAGCCCGTTGTTGCCTCACACTCCACCAGCTTTTTGCATTAGCCCCGTCTCGCAATTTCAGCAATACCGGGCAACCTTATAAGGTCTGGCGCTCGGACGCTGTCATCGCGTGGTACTGCAATCTAAGCAATACCGGGCAATACAATCAAGATCTTGGCGGTATTGCATGGTATTTCCACGTATTGCCTGGTCGTGCAGGTGGTCCACCCACATTGCTTTCTGTCGGAAACGCGACAGGTCCATTGGAATAGTACTCGAGTCATGCCTTATATTTCCACACTTCCCTGAACAGGCACGGGTATGTAATCTACAGCGAGATTTTTACACTTTTGCTGATGCTCGAAGGGTCAGTAGACGCCTTTTCAGCGCTCGCTAACTGGGACTTATCAGGGCGCTCAGAAGGCGCTAAATTTCTGGTAGCCCATAACCCCTCAAAACCCATATATTTGGGCCTGTCCCGAGGGCTATGGGTTAAGAGGGTGTCGACTGTACTATGTACTAGATCGTCGTCAAAAGGATAGGTTTCGAAGGATCTCTCGGCCTCAGAATCATTGTGAGCGGCTCCTATGTACCTTCGTATTGGTGCTCCGGTTTATGCGTATGACGCCATTTGAATGCACGACGTAGCTTAGAGAACATCATGATCCAACACAAGTAATTGCCGATGCTTGTGGTACCTATGCTATACCTATGCTATACAACTAAGATGAAATGTACACATTGACCCCGCAGACGTAACACACTAGCCTTCAGCAAAAGTGTAAAAATCTTTTGCCGTATTGCCTGTTCAGGAAATACTCAGCGAGAGCGCGCAATATACGTCAGATCATGCGCTGTCATGGGTGGTCTTGCAATGTCGTAAATATATTGCAAGACCTTGCAATATCCCACAAGACCAGGCAATATCGATGTTGAACTTGGACTTATCCGGTCCGGACTACACGAGGCTATGCGTCTCCTAGCGCTTAGCTGTAGTCGCTTATGTAGTATGTTACCATATTTGGGACTCTCTGCTCGTGTACTATAGCTATGCTTCCGGACTCTTCTGGTACTGTCTAGGACAATCCGTACTACTCCAGAACGGTCTAGACAGGTCTATGCCTTACTCATCTCTTACTCATCGTATGGTGCGATACGTCGCAATTCTTTCACCATCGTATTATTCA